CCCTTCCCCCTTCCCTCCTCCCCTTCCCTCCCTCCCCTTACTCCTTCCTCCTTTCCCCCCTACTCCCTCCTCCCTCCTTCCTCCCCCCCCTTCCCTCCCTTCCCCCTCCCTCCCTCCTCTACATCTACTCTCTCTGATATATTGACACAAAATTGTACAGGAATTGTGATGAGATTACGTGGGGAAAAAAACCAGCTTCGAATATGAAAATTTACCTTAAATTCTCTAAGATTCTTCTATTATTTTTCCCGTTAACACAGGATAAACAAATACAAGTTACTATCAGTGTTTACGGGAATTATTATCATTATTTGGTTCATCAGCACCTGTACCTTTCCTCATCTCGGAGTCATATTTTATGGATGGTTCTCTGGCTTTATTGTGAAGGTAGGCGAGTGTAGTGCCGCTATACCTAGACTCAGAGAAACACACATCCACACCGATAAACTAACCGAGACACAGACATACACACAAAACACACACACACACACACACACACACACACACACACACACACACACACACACACACACACACACACACACACACAAAACACACACACACAAAACACACACACACACACACAAAACACACACACACACACACACACACACACACACACAAACAAAACACACACACAAAACACACACACACACTCACAAAACACACACACACACACACACACACAGGCATACGCTATGATAAAATTTATGACATGTGCCTTCGCCATACTCTACACCATGCTACGACACCTGTCCTACACGACACCTGCCCTACACGACACCTGCCCTATACGATACACCTGCCCTACACGACACTAACCCTACAGAACACTCACCTTCCACAATTTCCTGATTTCTGATTCATAGCCAAGAAGCTTCCTACACAATTTTCCTGGCTTCTGATTGGTCAACACTCTTCCTACTCTACCCTATGCAACAAATCGACTGATCCACTTGATATCAAAACTGGGAATTCGTGTCAAGAGGCTCTACTAGTGAGGTCCTGAATTACCATCACGTGCCACAGTCTATAGTTACCACTGATCTACGTAATAAACAGGTTCGGTGATGTTGTTTGGTTGAGAGATAAATGGTGGACGTTTTCTCATAAATATAACACCTCGTAATTTTGTATTTCTCTGTGACCGTCGAGGTAAGAAAGGAAGTTTTATCAATGTTCCATGAATAAATTGTGTTTATATTGGTCCAAAATCCACAAATAATTCAAGTTACTAATGTAGCTTCGGCTATATTATGTATATCTACCGGGATATTTACACTGTGGCGCCCATCAACCTAACCTAGATTAGGGTAATTACAAAGGAAATATCCTGGTAGACCTACTCCAGCTCCGTAGACCACATACTATATTAGAACCCTAATTTATATGGAAGGATACTTTTATTACCCAAATATTTATCAGTGAAAAGTTGAGACAAATTACTCCTAACAAGTATAAATGTGACGTCATTGATCCGGATTTGTTTACAAGCTCCTTTGTGTTAGTGTGACGTCATCAATCCTGATTTGCTTATAATTAATATTGTGTTAATGTGACGTCATTGATCCAGATTTGTTTACAAGCTCCCTCGTGTTAGTGTGACGTCATCGATCAGGTTTTGTTTACAAGCTCCCTCGTGTTAGTGTGACGTCATCGATCAGGTTTTGTTTACAAGCTCTAGAGGGCAAACACTGCCACACCGTCACTGATGAACATGGGGAGAAGGGGGGGGGGGATTTTTTTTAATATAACCAAAAAACTTTGTATTAACTAAAGTATTATTTTTGTACGTGTTAATTCAATAGGGAATAAAAACGAGTATTTTTATGGGGTGTTAAATTAATTCTGATCCGTGTTGTTACTGTGGTACGGGTGTGAATAAGGGAGGTTAATTTTAATAATGAATAATACTGATTAAAAGCCAGAAAAAAATATAAGTATTTTAATGTCACAGTTATGACAGACACAAAAGTTTGGTCTCACTTGTCCAGGTATGTAAATAAAAAGTTTATTATCATTATTAAAAGTATTCAGTAATTTCTAGTACCTAAAAGATTAACTACTGGTATGATTTTTGTAGATGATCTGTGACCATAATGACCCCTGTACCCCTAAATGACCTGTGACCTGATGAAGGGGTGTGACCTCTGTACCCCTATAGATACACCCTGTACATGACCTGTATCGCCCCTTGTTCACTTTATTTACTGTCCTTGGAAATATTTTGTACGTTAAGTATATCAAGGACAAAGTGGGCGTATCTTGTTAAGTTTGTGTGATACTGAGTCCATATTTCTGGATGTTATTGTTGTGGTTTAGCAGAAGTCAACCAGTTACGCATATACTGACAGCCACACTGACAAGAAGCCTAACCTAACCTAACCTGTAATAATAACATGGAAGTGTTTCATATGAACCTAAGATGACGAAGACGACTCTCTGTCTATAACAACTGAGTGGCCAATTCTGGTGTTTATATTGATAATGAACTGGTGTCTTCAGGTCACTGTGGGAGAAACTTGAACCATGTGGACAAATAAACTGACTGTGCTAAGGTACTGCGTTATTTGGGAGATTATAATTCTATATGACTTGGTCTCTCATATATGACAATGACTGCCGGATGACATGGCTATAACTTACCACGACCCACTGGAATGCATTTAAGGGATGAATTTATGATATAGACGAGTAAGAAGAGACTTAGGTGGAGAGTGTGAGTGTCTCCGTCATTACTAAGTCAAGTGTCACAGCCTCACGTTAATGAAATTTAATTAATTAGTATTATATAAAACCGCTAGAGCCAGTACATGTCCAGTACTTGTCAACAATGTGTAGCAGAGAGCCAGTACATGTCCAGTACTTGTTAACAGTGTGCAACAGAGAGCCAGTACATGTCCAGTACTTGTTAACAGTGTGTAACAGAGAGCCAATACATGTCCAGTACTTGTCAACAATGTGTAGCAGAGAGCCAGTACATGTCCAGTACTTGTCAACAATGTGTAACAGAGAGCCAGTACATGTCCAGTACTTGTTAACAGTGTGCAACAGACATCAACCGAGCGAGGAAGATGAGTAAACGTGGAGGTCAAATGAACTTTATTATTCACAGGAAGTTCTGCAACACATGGCAGTTCATCCTCCAAGTAGTAAGTTTGTTTAGTCTTACTTTTGAGGTCCTACTTATGTCCAGGACTCCCCTCACACACCGCACCTCCAAAATTAACCCCCTCCTTTCCCTCCCTCCAACCTCCAAAACCAACTCCCTCCTTCGCTCGCCTCCCTCAAATCTCCAAAAACAATCCCCTCCCCCCCCCCTTATCCCTCCAAAATCCCCCTACCTCCCATTCCTCCCATTTCTACCCTCCCAAACATCAGCTCTTCCTCCTCCTTCTCCTCCTATCCAATGTCTCCCTCACCTCCTCGCCCCCCCCCCCCAACACCCTAACCTCCTCCCCTCACCCCTCCCCACCTCCAGGGACAAAGATCCTTGCCAGAAACTTTCGACGTTCATTCCGTTAACAATAAAAAATGCAAAGCAGCTCATGGGAGAAGTTTGCAGGTCCGCTGGAGGAGTGATAGTTGCAACTGTTTAGAAGCGACTCCCCTTGCCTCCCTCTCTCCCCACTCACTCATCCCCTCTCCCCACTCACTCATCCTCTCTCCCATTCACTGACTAACCTCAACTTGCTCACTTCATTCGCTCACTATCCTTCCCTCTTCTCCCGTCCACCCCCCACGCACTGATCTTTCCTTCCCCACTCACTAATCCTCCCCACTCACCTTCCCTCCACCACTCACTCAGCCTACCCACGTCACATCCCCACTCACTTATCTTCCCCTCTCACTCCTCCTCACTCTCCCTCCCTCCCCCACTCACTCACCCAACTCATCCTATTCACTCACACCCCCACTCACTCATCCGGCTCACTCGACCTCCCCTCTCTCCCTCCCTCATCTTCATTACACTACACCTACACCTTGAGTTAGTGTAGCTGTGTAACATAGCTTAATAGGTTTGATAGGTAACAAATGTATGTGTAATGAATAAATAGTGATCATGTTGTACAGTATCTCAAAAAAGTATCTAACAACATGTTGCATTTCGGAAGTCATCAGACCCATCCTTGCAGATACTTTTTTGGGGGTACTGTACACATGACTTGCCATGATGTATATATAAAGCATACACACACACACACACACACACACACACACATCATGACCTGAGAAAGACATCATATTGGGGTCAGAAGATTGCCATAACAAGACACATGAGTGGGCCAGACACACGATCATCAAGTGTTTGGTATAACATGATGCTCCGAAAGACATTCTGATTGGCTGTTCAAGTCCTCGTACACGGTCAAAGAATATTACTGATCGTCTCCCATAATCAGGTTCATGGTGTAGTATTACTCCCAAAGGACATTGTGATTGGCTGTGTGAGTTCTCGTAAATGGCCAGAGGACATTCTGAATGGCTGGTGGAGTTTCCCCTCATATGACCACCACTATCAGGTCTCCAGTCTAACATTACGCCACACAGAACATACTGATTGGCTGCTTGAGTCCTCCTCCAAGGCAACTAATGAGCCGATTCTGATTCAACTCATCACAATGATCCAGGGATGAGGGTTCTCTTATCCCGTATGGATCCCTTAAGTGAAGGATCAATGGAGCCACCAGGACGGCCCGATGGCTCTTTGATCCCATCTAGCCGACGACATCATAAGAATCACATCAGAATCATTCCTACAAGATCACCATCATACAAGCCAGCAATGAATACATCCCCGTCGCTCATTGGTCCGCCTGATCAATGTGGCAACAAACGCCCGGCCAATGGGAGGGAAGAGGAGGCGTGGCTCGGGGCGCCATTGGCTTGAGGGAGGTTTGTGGGCGCGGCCAGCAATGATGGGAACGCTCATACAATAGAGTCTAACGAGGATTACACGAAACATATCACATGTAGGGTTTATTTGCCTCATCTGGAAGTGAGGAGATGAGTGGAGGGTGAGCTCTCGTGGTGAGCACAAGGGTAGTGAGGCTCTAGTCGTCCCACCACACGCCCGTCATGACACCCGCGCCACCACCCAAGTGATCACTACTACACCGTCTACCACACTTGTTTGTGGCCTTGTGAAAATCTAATTGTTGTTGGAGATAAAGTGTGGCACATGTTGCCGAGCGTTGGCCCCGCGGGGGTGCTAGGCGGGGGTCTCCGCCCCCTGGGGCACTCTGGCCTTCCCGCCCACAGTCTGCTGGGGTCGCTGGGACCCCTGCCGCTGCCCTTCTCCGCCATCACGTCAGCAGCGGGCACCATGGCAGGGATCACGACGCCCTATGTCGTGGAGTCGCTGCTGAGAGAGCGACACCTGGCACGACCCGTGGCCACCAAGCCGCCCCTTCTGCTGCACGACGACCACCGTCACGCCGAACACTTCTATTATAAGGACGATCCCGCCGCCCACTACCTAGGGTTGCTGGCACGCCCCGCGGGGCCTGACAGACTCACCCCGCCCGCCCCGCAGCCCTCACCTCCGCGCTCCAGGGACGGGGAGGATGGCGGGGCAGGGGGCTGCGGGTGTGACGGGGACGCCCCCTCACACAGCCCCTGCCCTGACACACCCACCAGTAAACCTCACCTCAAGTTCTCCGTGACGGCCATCCTGGGGCACGACACCCCCAGCCCCCCCGCCCGGGGCGACCACCTCCACCACGACCACCCTGACACAGGTACTGCACCGCCCCATCCCCTCCCCCGTAAATTACGAATTATAACCTAATTTGCACTCCGCCCCTCACACCGTACACCTACACCTGACTCCATACACAGAGTGTCATCCCACTATCTACACAACTGTTGCCATCACCTCACTACCAACTACACTCCACGACCTACCCATCATCCAGCGACCTATACCTCACACCTAACACTTTACCTCATACCTCACGACCTACCCTACACCCCACGGCCTGCCTTATACAGTACACCTCACGACCTACCCTACACCCCACGGCCTGCCTTATACAGTACACCTCACGACCTACCCTACACCCTACGGCCTGCTTTATACAGTACACCTCACGACCTACCCTACACCCCACGGCCTGCCTTATACAGTACACCCCACGACCTACCCTACACCCCACGGCCTGCCTTATACAGTACACCTCACGACCTACCCTACACCCTACGGCCTGCTTTATACAGTACACCTCGCGACCTACCCTATACATTCTCTCACCCCGGAAGTGCTCTGTGTTTTTCAGTGACAAGAAATTCATGACCAGAACACGAAGGAATATTATCATTGGTGAACGACCATATTGAGTGACTGCGTTATGTGGTATAGCGTTGGTTATGGTATGGTATGTTATGTGTGTGGTGCCGATGGTTGTTAGGTGTGGTGGTGATGGTTATGTTATGTGGTAGTAATAGTTATGTTGTGTTATGTGTGGTAGTGATGGTTGTGTTGTGTGTGGTGGTGATAGTTGTGTTATGTTATGTGTGGTAACGGTGGTTGTGTTATGTTATGTGTGGTAGCGGTGGTTGTGTTGTGTGTGGTGGTGATAGTTGTGTTATGTTATGTGTGGTAGCGGTGGTTGTGTTATATAAGTGGTGATGGATTTATGTTGTATATTCGCTTGTAGTGGTTGTGTTATGTGTGGTTGTAATGGTTGTGTTATGTTATGTGTGGTAGCAATTGGTTATGTTTATGTTATGCGTAGTAGCCATGGTTTCTGTTATATTGTTATGCGTGGTATATGGATTTATGTTATGTATGTATGTATGTTATGTTATGTGATGTGTGGTAGCGGTGGTTGTGTTATGTTATGTTATTCGTGGTAGCCATGGTTATGTTATGTATGTTATGTTATGTGATGTGTGGTAGCGGTGGTTGTGTTATGTTTTGTTATGCGTGGTAGCCATGGTTATGTTATATATGTTATGTTATGTGATGTGTGGTAGCGGTGGTTGTGTTATGTTATGTTATGCGTGGTAGCCATGGTTATGTTATATATGTTATATTATGTTATGTGATGTGTGGCAGCGGTGGTTGTGTTATGTTATGTGTGGCAGCGGTGGTTGTGTTATGTTATGTTATGCGTGATAGCCATGGTTATGTTTTGTTATGTTATATGGGGCAGCAATGGTTATACTTATACTACGCTATGTATGGTAGGTAAGCGTGTGAGTAAGAACCATTACAACCATATAAAAACCACTCTGTAATTACCGCATTAATATCGGGCATAACCGCACATGCTATAGTGGACAATTTGGCAATGCAATATGTGGCTAGGCATGATAGGACGTGATTTTGCATGATAGGACGTGATGTTACATGATAGGACGTGATGTTGAATGATAGGACGTGATGTTACATGATAGGACGTGATTTTGCATGATAGGACGTGATGTTACATGATATGACGTGATGTTACATGATAGGACGTGATGTTACATGATAGGACGTGATTTTGCATGATAGGACGTGATGTTACATGATAGGACGTAATGTTGAATGATAGGACGTGATGTTACATGATAGGACGTGATTTTGCATGATAGGACGTGATGTTACATGATAGGACGTGATGTTACATGATAGGACGTGATGTTACATGATAGGACGTGATGTTACATGATAGGACGTGATGTTGAATGATAGGACGTGATGTTACATGATAGGACGTGATGTTACATGATAGGACGTGATGTTGAATGATAGGACGTGATGTTGCATGATAGGACGTGATGTTGCAACTGAGAGTACGCAATTACAAAACGATGCAAGATATTCTGACGTTTCTCATATATTGCATGGAAAAGAAAAAGTGCTTCCTACATTTTGCAACATGGTACCTTAATTTTATAAGCTAATTCTTGCAACAAAATTACTGCACGGATTTTGCAACATAATTACCATGTACTGTTTCTATATTCTATGGTACAATGCATAAATTCTTACATGTATACTAATTCTACGATATAGTTCACTTAATTTATTCTACAATACAATATAGTTCACTTAATTTATTCTACAATGCAATATAGTTAACTTAATTTATTCTACAATACAATATAGTTCACTTAATTTATTCTACAATACAATACAGTTCACTTAATTCATTCTACAATACAATATAGTTCACTTAATTTATTCTTCAATGCAATATAGTTAACTTAATTTATTCTACAATACAATATAAAGTTTACTAATGTATTCTACAATGTATTATTTATAGACAAACACAACACAACACTTCACTAATTCCAAAAAACACAACTTCTACAACACAATCCCTCATACACCAAAGTTTACATCTCACACACACACACACACACACACACACACACACACACACACACACACACACACACACACACACACACTACAACAAGACACTAAGCAAAAAAAATAATAAATAAAAGGATTACAACTACACACAAATTCCTCTCAGAATATTCAAATGCGTCAGGGGGAAGGAGAAGAGAGATGAAGGAAGGGAGAGAGAGAGAGAGGCAGATTGGAGGGTAGGGGGGCTGGAGGTGGTTGGAGGTATAGGAGGAGGTAGGGGGATATTGGAGGGTAGTAAGGAGGGAGGGAGAGGCCGATGGGAGGGTAGTAAGAAGGGGGAGATAGGAAGGGAGGGAGGGAGGGAGGGGAGAGGGTAGGGGTAATGTGAGTAGTCTGGGGAACATTTAAAAGTTCCCTGTATGCAAATTTGACCACATTCACACCATTGATCCAGCGGGACTTATCGGCTCATCAAGAACCCTCAGGCCTGACTCCCGGAACTTGTGGCCCACTTTCTGTTACAATTAATTAGTGGTTTTTCTTTTCTCGTTAAACAAGTTATATCGAAGGTGTTTTTTTTTTTTTTTAAGTTTATGCTGGATGATGGTTTAATCCTTTTGAGGAGGTGGTTTTAAATTGTCGTCTTTAGAGGGTTTAAACCATCGTCGTTTAAGTGGTTTAATCTTCGTCCTGAAGGGTTAAATCTTTATCCTCAAAGGGTTAAAATCTTCATCGTTAAAAAAAAAACATCGTTAAAAATGTTAAACTATCGTCCCTCCAATTAAACCATCGTCCTCAAAATGTTAAACCATCGCCCCGAAAGGTTTAAATACTGACTTCCGGTATCATTTGATTTATGGGTTGTAAGTGTTATTTATGTCATCATCATCTTCAAAATCACAAAATAAAATTCCACATTGAAAAAAAAACGACTTAAATTTTGTTTATTTTTCTCATAAGTTATTCTGAATTATCAATTAGTTACCGACAAGTTATTTAACACAATTTGAAATAGAATCGCGATTATATATGGTTCTTGAGATTTGAATTTCGATAATTCTAAACTGGGATAATTTTCCTGTTATATTTCGCGTACGAGTTTAATAATAATCGATGTAATGTGATTATATATGTGTTTTATATAATATGGAAAAATTACCTTTGTGTTTGACATTATAGAACCTCGATTATACTGGAATATATCTAATTATATTTAGTTTATTTTAATATTGGATTATCTTATATCAAAGTGATTATATTTAACTCGTTATAAAACCCTAATTATATCTTTCTAAATTATGATAAAATAAAGAAATAATCTAATGAATTATAAGACGGTAATTATGGCGATTTCACTTATCAAACTATAACTAAATCTTACAGATAATGAGACTCCGATTATATTCTACATATTAGATAATTAGCATCATACTCACCTAATTATAGAACTTTGATTAAATTAACAAATAATAAAAGATATTTACATATTCATTAAAATTATCTTTCTATAATAAACCTATAATTAAATTTTATCCATTATAAAGCATTACATAATTACACCTTGTTATATTGTAATTATATCGAATTTATTAAAAAAAATCTGATTAAATTTAACCCCCAAAATGATTATATTTCTCGATTATATAACAGTAATTATAATACACCTCTTATAAGACTTGGATTATATTTAACCCATTATAAAACTATAATTATATTCCGTTTTCAATATTTTGTCATCGGGAAATAATAAATATACTTTTCCTCCACAACATATCAATAATTTGTAAGTTTCGATTAAACAACATTGCAATTATATTATTTTATTGATTATATTAGTTGGCGATTAATTATTTTACATTATATTTTTATGGGATAACTTTACCATTAGTTAAGATGAGTTATAATGGATAATAGGAACTGAGATAATTCTTGCGATAATTATTTTGACAATATATTCTGGAACATATTTATTAATCTTACAAATTATAATAACTTTCTTTATTATCTTAAGTATTTCAGGAAAGTAATTATATTTTGTCCTTTGTATTAAAATTATTCAAATTATAATCTTTTCCTACAAACGGATTATATTTCATGGCGAATAATTGGATGTAATTATAGAGTAAAATAGTTGTAGGGGCGATTGTGTTTGCTGGCGGTAAGCACTTGGGCAACTGTATGAGAACTGGGAACTTTTTTTTTGAGGGGGGTGGGGGGGTGGGGGGGTCTTCGTATCACTGTTAAAACTTATACACGTTAATATATTTTTTTTAAAGAACAATGAAACTAATTTACGTTCTAATTTTTTTTTCAATATAGAGTCTAAACTGTTTTAAGTAATAGGCGTTTCTGAAGATATACATATTTCCATAATGTTTGTATAGCTATATATTGGTATCCTTTCTGTTCATTATAATCTTCTTTAATATT